GGCACCAATTTTTCTTATGTTGCAGTGATTTCTACTCAACTTCTTCATCAACAAAATTGGAAGGTATCATCGGATTTTATTAGTCTAAAAAGGGGCTTTATATGTTGAAATCTTATTGTTGTTAATGATTTAATTTCAACTCAACTCTTTATAATTTATTTATTTTTCCGAAATTGTTTTTTCATGGTAATCTTCATCTGGCAACAGTGACTTTTTGGACAAGATTTTTCTTGAATTTTTGATGCAGTTGATTATGGTTTTATCCGCCCCTAATAGGTGAAATATCCAGGACTCAAATTCAGTGGGGGCAGTTACCCCTATAGCCTGTGACTAGATCAATGTTGTTTACATATATGTTTTTTTTTCCAGGAAAGATTATGTCATCGATACACATGATTGATGGAAAAATAATATATATTCATCTTTTTTTTGCCATCTAAATTGCTTCTGTTGAACACATCAAGTACATTTGAAGTTCAATTAAAAAATTCAAGCCACCCGGTTGTAAATTACTTTATCTCCGTGTGTACACCTGTTTTCCCCTTTTTATTATTAGTGAGTTGGAAATGCTTGATTTATGACAATGCAGTGATACATACACTTGGTGGCTGGTTTTTTGGAGACTATGGATGTTGCCAGTGGAGCAGGTTACAAAACATCAACTGAGTTTGAGGAGGATAAAAAAGATCCACTCATCGAACTCAATTTAACCGACTCAGCGGAGCTTTGGCTCATTCAGTGGCCCATCAATCAAGTAAAATCCTTTTACTTACATCTTGTTCGTTTTCTACTCATATCAAATGTTCTTTTTTTCTTCCTCGATTTAACTTGCTTTAGAATGGAAAAACATGTTTCTCTTGTGGAAGAATTGTGTTTATCTAGAAAAAGGATATGGATAAAAAAAATTAATCGGTGTCTATTGGCTACTGTTTTATTTCCAACTGAAGCAGTAGTTGAACCCCCAAACTTTAAAATATAGTTGAATATCAAAAACTAATGTCCTAATTCTTAAATTTTTTCAGTCACGGTCTTCTATGGTCAGTTTTATATGTATTCCGAAACCAAACAGGTTAAGAAGTTTTCCTTTATGTTATCTTTTTCAATTTACTCCCTATAATGGTGGAAAAACTGATTTTTGTATGTATTTGACATTCTTTCCATAAGAAACTCATCTTGCTTCTTGAAACATGTATGCTGAACAGAAGATTTTGTTGTTTAAGTGACTTCATTATTGTTGATTTTCAAGAGTCCCAGCTTAATTACATTGTTGTGCTATGTAATGCAGGCTTCTGATTTTGACGGGCAAGAAGTGTCATTGAAGCTTCACCATGATGGGCATTTGGGCAATTTTGAAGGATCTTCTGGTAATTTAAGTCAACCGCTGGCATATTGGCTATATGCAATAAAAGTTAGCTACTTCTGCACTGACTTAGCATTGCTTTATGTTGACAGGAAAATCATATGAAGTGGTTAGTTATAAATTCCAAGATCCTGACGCAATGGTTTTCCTATCTTTGGCATCAGAGTCAAAATTTGGTACTCATTTATGAGTTACTTGTCTTGCATTATTTTGCTTTCTTGTATAGTTGCTTTTATTAATAACATTAATAACTATTGTTATTTGACGATGATTTATTATAGTGAGTACTTGTGTTTGATAGATAAATAAATTAAGATGTTGAAGTTAGCAATTACAGCCTTTATCAACCTTCTATGTTTCTTTGAAGGAATTGTGAATTCTCGACTTTAGCGTATCCTTATCCAGCATTGTAAATATAAACATGGATTAGGGCAGCCGATAGCGAGTTGCTTGCAAATGCCAAGAATGATTCTCTGCATTTGAGCCTGCCCTGAACTTTGGACAATTTTGAAATATTAGAATCTGTAGCCAACGTGAAGTTAGTAGTTTGATTTTAAGAACTAGTTGGCTTGATTTATCCATTTAGTTGTCTTTTCTTGTTCGTGAGTATGACATGGCTACGAATAGTTGCTCTGGCATATAACTTAGCACATGGATAGCCGCAACATACATGAAGTGTGATTCAAATGTCATTTGCAAGGTGTTAATAAGTAATAACTCATTATCTTAATAGATTAGACTTTTTCAAAGTTAATTAATTTCTGGGTTCTTATGATTGTTAATCGAAGCAAATAAATATGTGCGCTAATTATATTGCGAAAATTAAAGATGTAATATTTTGACCGAATCTTGTACATCATAATTAAATGGACTGTGCATGTTGTGTAATGTTACTTGTGTCTTTTGTTTTATGGGGTAAGTTGTTGTCATGATTTATGAACTGGCAAACCTATTTGATTCAATATTTGATAATGACACGAGTGAACACTGTTGTCTGGTACCCTGAACCTTTTGTGCAACATCCAATGCAAATTTTCCGTTCAATGCTTTCTAACTTCTGAAGAATTTTTTTACTAGAGAATGGATTTTGGACTCGAAATTCTGTCATTTGTTGTTCCCCTGCGTAGGAGTCGGCGGCAGTTACTGAGTTGTCTTCTTTACATTTACAGTTTTGCATTTGATTCTTATTATAAAGTTCTCCTTAATGTTGGGTTCAGTTTTCCGTTGATGCATTATATTTCAGCTGGGAAGATCTCAAGGCGTGTATCTCTCGTCCATTACCCAGAACCTAGTGAACTTCAAAAGCACAATAGCATCAACTTGAAAGAGATGTCTCAGAGGTCTTCCGCAGCCACCTCGACAATGTCTGGTCGTCACTTTGTGACTCCTTCTCGAAGGTCACGGCAAAGAAACTCTCAAACAATGAGTGGTACCTCTGCGCCAAGTAGCAAAAACAAGAGTTCTGTGTCTGGTCCTGGGGAGTCTTCGAAGCCTACAAAGAGAAGACATGTTGATGAGCCGAGTAAGTCCACTGGTCAGTCCGCCCAAGATTTGGGAAGAGGAAATAGTGCAGTTACCTCGATAGGGTCCTTGGAGCATTTTGACAAAAGAAAATCGAAGAAGCAAAAGAAAAGTGAGGTTTGAAAGTGTTGTATACTCGAGTATTTAGGACCTACCTATAAGTACTATCAACGCATCCAACGTTCATTTCTATTTATTTATAATTTAAGTTGTTAATACACACTTTTCTTCTCTGACTCAATCACTGAAATCTTTTCAATCTAGCTTTTTTATTTCCCCTTCGGAAAACCTGTGGAGATCGTGTGTACGGCCTGGTATCTAGGCTTGAAAACATATGTGCAACTATCAATTTAATCGTGCTCTACTTGATAATTGTTGATTTTATTTTTTATCACTCAACTTTTGGTGAAGTTTCCATTGAATCACTGAACTTTGGCGCTATTATTGCTTTTCCGTTTAGCTGTCACTGCTGGATCAAGTTTTGGATTGGCCCATCTAGACTTATTGGGCTCTGAATGAAACCCAACTGGGTCCATGCCAAATTTGATAGCCTAACTCGCTTTAAACGACTAGCTCTTTCCTAAGTGAGTATTTCCTAGGGTGCTAAACTCCAAAGGGATGCTGCATTTTTACAGAACTTCAATATCATGTCACATGGCATTAGCGTTTAGCAATCGCCAGTAAAAACACCGGATGAAAACAAAATTTTAGTTTTCTTATTGATCCAATGAATTCCTGTCTCGCTTCTCCATATAGAGAGTAAAGATCTCAGTTACGTCCATTTAGTACAAAGCACAGTGCTGTTTTCTGCAGCATTTTCATGTCTGTACAGTTCGAGAGTAAGGTAGATTCCGAGATCCTACTTGAGAAATTCCTAAATCTGATTATTGATGGATCACAACTTGGAGGTTGAAATTCAAGTTTATAACAGCAAAAACATGGCTGCACCATCAACCAATTGGTTTTACCAATCTCACTGAGTCGAACCCAGGCCTTGCTTCCAAGCTCATACAGCCCAGCCCAGCCTCAGCAACTACAATCCATTTTGAAGAATCCTTCCCTTCACCCCTTTTTAAGTGCAGAAAGCAAGAGGATGGACGACAAATTAATCCTAGCATATCCCGATGAATCGCTAGCTTTCTTTTAACCTGACCCAGTTTTAGTCCCCGATACAGGTCTAAGCATCGGATGACTGAGAGACGGCTGGGAATTTCCAGGGTTAAACAGTGCATTCGGGGTTGAAGAGCTTGGGCGTATAGCTGATAGTGGCAGCTGGGGCCCAAGATCAGACATCCCCTGTTGCATAAGGGGCATACGGGGATGGACTGGTTGGTTATTGCCATACCCGGAAACAAAGGGTTGTTGAGAGCCTGAAATAACTTGCTGCCTATTTCCCAAATTATTATTAGTTATGGCTGAACCAACCGGATGGCCCATTGCTCGAGATCCTCCAGTAGATCCAAACTGTGATGACATCATGAGGCCCCGTTCTGCAGCCAACCTCTGCCGCGTTCTTTCCAACTGTTCGCATTCTCTCATCAATAAGGTCTCAATTTCTGCAAACTGCTTCAGCTTAAGCTCTAATCTCTTCAACTGAAAGGGAAGAAGAAGCAAGATTGAACTTGTCAGAAATCCAGTAATATCATGAAGGCTATAAATGGATTAAGCAATTTGAGGCAAGAACATTACAATTTCCTGAAATAAAATGTTAAATAGAATATCAGATTATAATCCATTTGCAAATAGTACAAAACTAGAGGATCCAGCATTATAAACCTTGAAAGAGGGATAGAGCCTAATTAAAGTGAAAATGAACCTTCTAATAGTTGACAACCTCTACACATCATCACCATAAGACTGACTAGAGTCAGTCCCATAACCGTTATCTTTATATTCAAGGAAGACTAGTTTTAGACACACTGGTAAACCTGTGATGTTTCTTGATCATATCCGAAGTAGTCAGCTGATTCTTCAGTTACCATGGGTTTTTAGATTCAGATTTGCTGAATTTTTCTAGTTGCGAAATGTTTTCTTCAGCCTACAGATCCAGTCAGATGGACATACGTTCGAGACACCTATTACACATGCATATGCATGAACACGTGATTCTAATGAAAACATCATCTAACATGTTCTCTCTGAAGAAGGTGGTGAAAATGTAACTACACAAATGCAGGATGGTAACTGAAACAGGAAGTTTGCCGCTTCCAAACAGTTTACTTGTTACTAACTTGCAAGTTAGTGAATATTTTGTGAGTTCGCCCTGCCAAGAGGATGCTCTAAAGGAAATAACAGGAGAAATATATAAGAGGTGACTTCAATCAGAGCAAGGTAGAAACTAGTCCAATATGAGACCCAACAAAAGAAGTGCTTTCATAGATTGCTGCATGGAAGATATGGCTTAGGAGATAAAGATAAAGATCCGTGTAGGTCCAGATTCAGAAAAACGACGTAAAGAAAGAGAGAGGTGCTAGTCTTTTTCTCAAGGCAATACATCATTCGCAAGTAGCATAAAAAAATTTAATTGCTAAAGTTAAGTGTGCTCACTATGAAAGGAAAAGAATTGTCAAGGCAATGTATAAACTTATGTTACAGTGATAATTAGAAATGAAGTGCCTAAATTCAGAAATTGGTACAGCAATTATTATTCTTATTTTCTTTGCAATCTTTCGTCAGGAATAAGGTAGTAAATTAGAACATTTTACAGCTTGAGATACTGTGATTGATGTAGGACCTGCTCAAGGAAAGCAGAGCTCCAGTATCTATTTGCTAAGACTAGAATTTAAGTTCCGATGTCTGACTCTAGACCAATTCCAAGGCATGTGTATAAAACCCAAAAATAGAAAGATGTGATTAGTGCACAGCTGATGGGATGAGATTAAAAATTAAGGAACAGTTAAAAGAGCTACATGAAATCTCTATTTAAATAAGATCACCCGCAATACTTAAATTCTTCTCATTGTTATTCCACAAAGACTTGCAAGAGTAATTTGGCCTATGATATAGCCTACTACTTCCCAATATGGTGCAGCATATTTCTAGAATTGCAAAACAAATAAAAACTCGCAGAATCTCTGAGAACCTTTAATCTTCAGGAAGTAAATTAAGCCATCACAAGAGCATACTTCTCCCTAAATAGTACAAATTATTTCCAAAGTGAAGAAAGCAATTGAGAGAGAGAGAGAGAGGCATTAAATCAGACAATAACTAATGACTTAATTAATGAAAGCTACCAACCACAATCCAAGAGTCTTAAGATCAAATTATTAAGCAGAGTACTCACTTCAGCAGGAAAGAGGATTATTTTTTCTAAAAAAGCAAGCAAAGATGGCAGCACATACCATTACAATTCATCCTCAAGGGATTGCTCACTTTCTTATGCCCACTCCGTGCCACACCACACCACTCCATACCCCAACCCCCTACCCGCAAATTTATCTTTTAAAGTATGTTAGAAACATAGAACAAGCATGCTTACAAAAAGAAATGTTTGGTTAATACAATAAACCTAATCATTACGGTCAAATGCTTGGTTAATACAATAAAACTAAACGTTATTATGCACAGTACTCAATAAACCTAACCATTACGGTCAAATGCTTGGTTAACACAATGAAACTAAACGTCATTATGCACGGTACTCACAGAAAAATTGGAATATTCATTAGTCAGTTTCATGAATTTGCATAATCTACTTTGAAATGTTAAAATGACATAAATAAGATGGAAAAAACAACGATCCCACTTTTAAAAGGCCTCAGGACGGGAATGGATTTTGGTCCTCCATTCTGATTGCGTTCCTCCATTTTACGATCAAGATGGTTTTGAATGGGGAGCCATATTCTTCAAAGCTTGATGGTTGTGGTGATAAGGGTGGCCAGTATATTGCAGCAGTGACAAACCATGAAGGTGATTTTTAACTAAGAAAATTACACCTATGATCAGCGTTCTACAGGAATAAGTACACTTGAATCCCATTCTAATTTTCTTGTCAAAAAGGTTTTCAAAATTTGTAGCAAGTTAATCTAACAACAGTTTCCATCCAAATATGTTGTCATAACCTCCTCTCTCGGCTCACATATGATTGGAAAATTTGGTTGAAAAGAGAATTATAACATCAACTTAATTACATAAATAAATTAAAAAGAATTAAAAAAATGGATCTTCTTCTTCCCCCATTCTCTCACCCCTCCCCCACCAGCTGTGTACACAGAAAAATTTACAAAAAATTATCAGACACCAATAAAGAAAAAAGTAATTGATACAGCTCATTGTGTCAATGGCAAAGAGAAGAAAATTGCAGAAAGATGATTAAGTCCATTTGTTAAAGGGTATTTAAGTCTTTTATGTAATACCTAGGGTTTCCTAAATTTTTATTATAAATAGTGTGAGAGGCTAACACAATAGTTAAGCCTTCTTATTCTTTTACTTCAACATGGTATCAGAGCAAGGTTATGG